TCTGCCGCGGAAATGTGTGGGAGGCCACCGACATCCAACCAAACGATACATGCCGCTGTTACCCCAATGTTGGATACTCTTCTGTTCTTCACGAAATGAAGGAAGGGAGGGGGCCGCGCCCTACACAAACGAGCACACGAGTTGAACTGTCTCCACCCACAGGTACGAGAAGTGAAGAAGAAGAAAAAGGAAAAAGGTAAAACAGAACAATTCAGTTTTCCCGTGGGCATCTGTTTAAAACGCGACGCTTCATGACCTCTGTCACGGCCGCGTTGCTGCGTCAGCAGGATGACGAATGTAGCACTGCCGTACTCCACCTGCTTTGCGACAAGGACGCCTTTAAACGACTGGCAGCCAGTGAGGGGGAGGCGATTCTTCGCCGCGACAAGGAGGACGAGGAGAAATTGGCGGTTGGCATTGGCATTGCGAAGGCCAAAGGAATTTTGTCGGGGAACCCAGATGTTGGCACTGTCACACGGATCTCCGTAGCCGGTATGACGGCGCAACAGGTGACGGAAGAGATCATGAAATACCTGCCAAGCAAGGGGGGGAATGCTATTGTTATGCAGGGACTCTCAGGCACGGGAAAAGGGACGACCGTGAATAAGCTGCAGAAACTGTTGCCACGATGTGTCACATGGAGTAATGGCAACGTTTTCCGCAGCTACACCCATTTGAGCCTCGAGGCCTTGAAAGGGGAACCCATACGTACGGAACTGCTCACGCCCGAGCTGCTCGCTGCGGTGGAGAAGCAGGTGACATTTGAGCAGGTGGAAAACGGCGAGTTTGACATTGTGCTCAAGGGAAACATGCGTGTGGCCGACATACAGAACACACTACTAAAGAGACCCGAGATTGAACATGCGGTGCCTACTGTGGCACAACAAACTCAAGGCGAGGTCATTCGCTTTGCAACCATGGCCGTCGGAAAGCTTAAGGACGCCGGCTACAATGTCATCTTGGAAGGCCGTGCGCAAACCCTAAATCACATCTCCACGCCATTCCGCTTTGAACTTGTGATTGACAATATCACACTGCTTGGCGAGCGCCGTGCTGCCCAGCGCGTCATGGCGAAAGCTTTTTCAGATATCAAAAATCATCTTGATGGTGCCACAAACAAAATGGTCGAGGAAGCCATTTTTAGGGCATTATCGGAGCTTTAGGAGGGGAACTCTGTACCACTCAATGTGGATCGTATACTCAAACAATATCTTTGTAATGTACAAAAAAATATAATGATAGCGGTGTTATCACAGCAAAGATTTTTTAATTACTAATTGCTGTTTATTACTAATTAATATTATTAGTAATATATATATATATATATACTAAATAATAAAAATACAAATATCAACATATATACATGTATGTACATGCATTTACATATATATATATATATATATATACGGGTAGATATACAGGTCCGCGGACGGATGTTATGTGTATGTCTGTGTTTTTAATGTGATTTTTTTCTTTTTTCTTGTTGTTGTTGTTGTTGTTGTTGTTTTTGTTGGTTTTTTCCACTCTCTCTGTGTCTGCCTCTGTAAACTCCAAAGGAGAGGAAAAGAAGAGAAGGTGCATCAGGAAGGAAAGAGAAAAGGGCTTTTATATATACAAAGGAAGAATAATAATAATAATAATAATCCCCCCTGAGGAGAATGATGTCGACGGCAAGCAAAATTCTAGCAATATTGCGTGAGGCGATGCGGAAGCGCTCCCTCAGTGCTCTTATCATTCCCTCCAGTGATCCTCATAACAGTGAGTACGTCAAGGATGAGTACAAATGCCGCGCCTACATCACCAACTTTAAGGGAAGTGCCGGCACGTGCCTCATCACAATGAATGAGGCATACTTATGGACAGATGGTCGCTACTGGCTTGAGGCGTCGCAATCTCTCTATCCGGAGTGGACGTTGATGAAAGACGGCCACCCAGATGTCCCAAGGCTAGAGAACTGGATTCAGTTGAACCTGGGCTCCGATGTGCTCGTGGGGATGAACAATCATCTATCGACCGTTGCCGAATGGGAGCGACGCCGCAAGATGTTCAACCTGGTGTCAGTGCCGGAGATGGTGCAGCCTTTAATGCCTCTCGTGGAAAACCCCGTCTCAAAGTTATATGCCCGTCCGGAGGAATTTTGCGGCATGCGGTGTGGGGAAAAGGCGGCGGCGTTGATGGAAGAAATGGAGCGACAAAAGTGTGACGCGTTGGTACTTTCTGCACTGGACGAGGTTGCGTGGCTTACCAACTTGCGGGGCTCGGATGTTCCCTTTAATCCTGTTTTTTACGCATACGGCGTGGTGCGGTGCTGCTCCCCGCCCAAAGTACACCTCTTTGTGGACGCCGTCATGAGCGAGGAACAGGGACCGTCACTGGAGTTACACCCGTACACCGCGTTGGAGTCCTATCTCCGTACAATCCCAGCCGGTACCACCTTTCTTGTGGACGAGTATCAGACGAGTCAATGGCTGTTCACGCTGTTGGAGTCTCTTGGGATGCGGATAAAAGGGGTTGCGTGTGGCCCGGCACAAAAGTTAAAGGCCGTCAAAAACGCTGTGGAGATTGAGGGTTTCCGCCGCTGCCATGTACGTGATGGGGTGGCCCTCACACGTTACTTGGCGTGGTTACACGATACGGTGGCTGTGAAAGGCGACACGAGCGTCACGGAGTACAGTGCTGCCCAACGGCTAGAAGACTTCCGGCGTGAGGGAGAACACTTTGTGCAGTTAAGTTTTTCCACCATCTCTTCGGTCGGTCCCAATGCTGCCATTGTGCATTACGTCGCACCACGTGAGGGCTCCGCAACGATTGTGCCGGATCAATTGTATCTTGTGGACAGCGGGGCCCAATATCTTGACGGTACGACCGACGTCACGCGAACTGTTTGTTTTAGGGAGCCAGGAGACAAGGAACGCGAGGCGTACACGCTCGTTCTCAAGGGAAACCTCGCGCTCCACAGCGCAGTGTGGCCAACTGGCACAAGTGGTCATTCTCTTGACGTGCTGGCGCGTGCGGCGCTGTGGAAGTGCGGGCTGAACTATGCACATGGTACGGGTCACGGGGTTGGTTCATTTTTGAATGTGCATGAGGGACCACAGGGCATTGGGTTGCGGCCGACGCCGACTGAGGCAACGCTAGCGGCCGGGATGGTGATGTCGAATGAGCCTGGGTATTACAAGGACGGTGAGTTTGGCATCCGCATAGAAAACCTCGAGCTTGTCGTTGATGTTGCCACGAAACATAGCAAAAAAGGCTTTTTGACATTTGACACACTCACCATGGTGCCATTGTGTCGTGAACTCATTGATGTATCAGCACTGACAGAGGCGGAGCGGCTGCAGGTGAATGCATACCAGCAAACGGTGAGGGAAACCCTTCTTCCACACCTCCGCCGGTGCAATGACAGTTGTGCAATTGCGTACTTGGAGCACCACACAGCAACGCTCTAAATGGCGGCACCCTGTGTGTATGAGAGAGTGAAGGTCATGTAGTTTAACATGCCATAATTTATCATACTCCCTTCTTAGTGACGTTTATTTATTTATTATTATTATTCACCTGTCTCCAACGGGACCATTTTGGAAGGCAGCGGGGGCAATTCTTACTTCTTATGATATTTTTCCCAGCACTACTATGAATACCCTCTACGTGGAGGGGTCCCTGGCGGTTGCGGGATCTCAAATAAAGTCTGCCCCTCTTCGTTGCTTTACAACGAGCCGGGCTATCGCAGCATATATATCTTGGATAAATAATTGGTCGACGGGTCTATTGGGTGCTTGGGGAAACACATTTTAACTCGGAATTTTCTGTGAATTGTGAAGAACTCAGTTCATTTATTATTATTATTATTATTTTTTTTTTTTTTTTGCCGGGGAGGAAAAAGTAGGAGGGACCAGGATTTCCCTTAGGCGCAGGGAACTTCTCTGGCCAGCTGCGGAAAACATGCGAGTGTGAAGTATGTACAGGGATCAACGTGAAGCGGACGCATTTTATTTTATATATTTATATTTTTATATATTTGTTGTTGTTGTTGTTGTTTCCTCCGCGGGTTTTGATTTCAATTGTGTCTTTTTCTGTTTGCAGTAGGACCGCCAATTGAGCCGCAATGTCGATTTTTGGCAAAAAGACGTGGCGTGTGCAAGATATCATACGCACAGATGGGGCGCAGGAAATTGTGAGCATCCTGAAGATCACACATCCATTCCGTAAACAGCGCATTGTTGTTGTGCCTGCCCCCCGCTTTGCACAGGAGTCGTACTACAACGACTGGGTGTATCAGCCGTACGCAAAGGAACATCGCATGTACGTTAGCAACGACATATTTAATCCTACTTACGTTTATCTTGCCCGCATTCTTATCCGTCGAGGTGTCTTTCCTGGCTACGCGTACTTCCATCCTATGGGATTTCCGGACTGCATCGACCTCAACCTCACCCGGCGTGAGTTTATCGCACGTGAGCAGCCACTGAAGACACCCATGCCATTGATACTACTAACACCGAACATGTTTCGCTACAAGCGTCACCCATGGATCCCTCGCAGAGTCATCAACATTGTCGGTGAGCAATATGTCACCCATCCACGGGAGGAGCATCAGTCCATGTTGTTTGTGCTTCCACCGGAGTATATTTCAGATGCGGTCAATACGCTGCAGAGCCTTGGGTTTCAGGTCACCGAACACACAACCGCCGTTGCAGGTGAGGCGAAAACGCTAAAGAAGTTGCATCACTGGAGTGACATCGCACAACTGGTTGTTTTGGGCTACCTGTGGTTCATGGTTGCACTCTTTTTCTTCAATGAGTCACAGCGGATGCAGAGGATGTTTCATGAATACAAGCGGGAAATGGTGGAGAAGGCAGGCAAGGACCCTGATGAAATGGGCCTTTAGGCCCTATTGCCTTTCAACACAGACGATAATAAAGATAGCAGCACCTCACTTTGCTGTTGATAAACCCAAATGGTAGTGAATTCCCTCTTCTCTTCTTCACACATGCACAGAGAGAAAGAGAGAGAGAGAGAGAGAAAGAGGAATGGTGAAAGAAAGAAGTTGAGGGTTTTTGACAGCGTGTTGTTTGTTCTGGAGGAAACTCATTTTTCTTTTTCTTTTTCCTTCTTGTTGTTGTTGTGCTTTTACTGTCTGGGGGGATGTTGTTGGGTCCTTTTCGTCTGTGTGTGTGTGTGTGTGTGTGTGGCTGTAGCGGAGTCGTATGTGTCTTTTGTGCGTTTCTCTGCGTTTTGTTTCAAGTGCCCCCCCACACGCACGCACGCACGCACGCTCTCTTCTTCTTTTTTGTGGCCGTGTCCTCTTGCAATGTCAATTCTGCGCAGCTGCATATTTGTGCGTGTCTGTGTTTTTGTGTGTGTGTCCTTTCTTTTTTTTTTTTTCTTTTTTCTCTTTTTCGTCTTTATTTTGTTTTTGTCTTATTTATTTATTTATTTATTTTATTTTATTTTTGCGTGTGCGGAGTCACTCGAACGAATTCCACAAAAAAGAAGAAAAAATACTTAAAAAAAAAAAGAGGGGTAAAAAAAAAAAAAAGCCAAAAGCAAAAATATATATATTTATATTTACTACCAAAAGGAAAATTAAATGTCTGCTGGAGGAGCTGAATTCAAAGCCGAGCTGCGTGCCGGCAAGCCCAAGTTTGGTGTCTTCCTTAACTCCGCCAGTCACCTGCTCGCCGGGCAGTTCAGTCACTCAGGCTACGACTGGCTGTTGATTGACATGCAGCACTCGCCTGTGGATGCGCTGACGCTCAGTCAGTTAATTGCGGTCATCCGCACCGGCCATGCGAAGGTGATGGTGCGCGTAGGGAGCACCGACGACCGTCCCGGCATCCAGAACGCGCTTGATTCCGGCGCCGATGGCGTGCTGATTCCGTACGTCAAAACTGCGGCGGAGTTAAGCGCGGCTGTGTCTTGCTGCTTTTATCCGACAGTCGGAACGCGCTCTGTGTACGCGCCGCAGCAGTGCATGAACGCCAAGGGCCTGCTTGGGTATGCCGGTGAGGCGAACAAGAACGTGGTGGTTGCGTTCCAGGTGGAGACGGCGGACTGCATCACGAACATTGAGGAAATTATGGCAGTGAAGGGTATCGATATTGCGTTCTTGGGGCAGAATGATCTTTGCATGTCGATGGGCCTGTATGAAAAATACGTGTTTCCCGACATGTACACCTCAACGG